TCATACAAACATACAATACAGCAAATTTATACACAGCAGTTAATTTACCTATATTATCAATTTTTAAGGTTAGAATACTATCTAGGACAATTATTGACATACATCTACAAGACTACAATTTACAAACGTATACATAACACGTGTACACCTTCTATAAGCAACTGCAAATATTGTATTAAAGGAGTTGAATTTTTAAACTAAACATTGAATACAAACAATGCAAGATGTGAACGAAAATGAAACAATACTAACGACAGTAAAAAATGATAATGACTAAAAAGAACAAAAACTAATAAAAAATGCACAAGTATAATACCGATGTATATGTATTATACCGAACAATTATAGTAAAAATTAAGCTTCCCAACTCTTTATTGATAATTTAATTTTGGGATGAGCTATAACAGTAAAAAAAAATATAATATTAAAATGCTTATTAATTGCTTTAAAACATAAATGTCATAAATATAGTGTAAAACTCAATGAGTTGCCCTAGCTTATATAGTCGCCTTTGAATTTGATAATAGGTTAGCTATTGCACCAAGTTGGTTTTGCCTAAACTCAAATTATTGACATGCTGTACGTTTGGAATTAATATATGTTCTCTTGTACACAATAATTAATAATTATGGGTTATTATAACATTTATAATTGATTAGTGATTATATTTATAATATAAAATATAAATAGTTGGTTTATTTTTAATTTCAACTTTAAACGTATAACACGATCATCGTGATCATCAAAATAATCAGAAAAGTTCGATTGTTTATTATTTATTTATACACAAACGGGGAACTTGATTCCAAGAAAATTTCCATTTTGTCAAGTTTTAAAAAAATTTCATCAGGACTTTTAATCCGTTTCTTACTACAGATACAGACCATTTTAACACAATATCTAATTTATTTATTTATTTATTTATTTATTTATTGAGGCGCTACTTCTCCGTCAAGTTTTAGTGGTGCTTCTAATTTTTGTCATTTTCACCAGAATTTATTTTATTTGTACGTCTTCTACAATATTTGTAGCCGATAAATATAAATGATTCATATACACTCATTAATTTCCAAATAATCTTTTAATGTAACGCCATCACATTGAAATTCCTTTCATAATTCCGTTGTACCTGTTGTCGATACATATACGACATATGTACATCAGTTTCAAATATTTAGATCAATTGTATTATAATTGAATTCAATTACATAGAACTATATATTATAATATTTTACATATTTTTATATGGTTTACATTTGAAAAATTGTACAAAATATAATATTATTATAGTGTTATGACAATGAAAAACTGATCGTAACCTCTGTAGTAAATAATTATACATACATAACATAATAGTGATTGTCTAGCTCAAATCAACGTTTGTATAATGTAATATTATTTCGAAGAACTCGCCGTTGCGTGGTGCCGTATATGATCATCGTGGTGGCGATAGTGGTATAGTGCAGCAGCTGCCGGCGTTAACAAGAATAAGGCTGCGGCGTTTAATCTAAAAAGGCGGAAAATGAGAAAATATACCAAACGGGAAGGGTGTATCTGGGGTGGGGACGAGGGTGAGAAAAAAATGCCTCGTTTTGGGATGCTGAGAGATTATTTCGTCTAGGGAACTGCGGCGGCGGCGGCGGCGGGGTGGGGAAACGTCATTTTTTACGGGCTTGACCCCGACCCGTCACACGCGGGCTACCGGGGCTTAAACTGGATCCATTACGCGTCACGTCGCCGACAGCCTACAAATTTTCTCACGGAAAAAAGTGACCCCGTCGCAATTTCGTCGTCGCCGTCGTCGTCGTCGTAGTATAAAAATATATATATATTATTTTTCCCTTCTCGATTTTTTCTACGTTTTTTTTTCCACTTCGCAAGCTCTACGATCGCCTGGTTTTTGCAGCCTTCTAAACCGTAGAATATAAAAATGCTCGTTATTGGTCGGGGCTTTTATATTTCATCATTATTTACCGTTTTTATAGGTCTTTTTCTCGTCCATATCATTATTATACGCGCGCGCGTCTAGCACGTGGGTCTTTGACGAGATCAGAGAAAAAAGTTTTCGATAACGCCACGGCCGGAGGAGGTCGTAAATAACCGTAGTTATATTATATTATATACGCGCAATACGTCATAAAGATAACGCGGGCGTTCTGTTGCGAAAAGGGACGCGACCGTCGACCGCCGTTCGAGAGGAGTAAAAACGACAACGAGGACATTTCGTAATATTATTATTATTATTATTATTATTATTATTACATATTATATTCTACGCGAACCGTAACCTCCGCAACGTATCCCATTATAATAGTATATCGCGTGTCCTCCATATAGTGAGGCCCTTTTCTGCATTCGTTCGCCTTATAAATCACCAAATGAAACGATAACATTTATCCAATCCATATAATATCTGTACATCGCACACGTACCTATATATAGTGGGAATTAAAATATGTGGCATGGCATGTGTGTCGGATTTCGTCTTTCGGATTTACGTGGCATACCTACTATTGTATATTTGTATTAAATCGTAGTGGAGATATTGCATACTGCGTCGCTATATAGCCATACATGATAATAATGCGTTGGCGCTAAGCAGCGTAATCCTCAATATGTACGATGGAGGGGGGGATTAATGGTGAGCAGGGTAGGTATGTAAATGTCGCACTCCAAGCACAAGGCCACCTCTACAAAAATGTATCGACTTTGAGATGAGGCACATGGCATCAGATTCATTTATACGACGATTCCATTACTTTAAAAGAAAGCCAATGAAGGTTTTCACATATTTTTTACAGTTTTCTATTTTTAAAAAATATAATTGTTTTTAAATAATAAGCTATAGACAGATTAATGATTTTTTTTTAATTAACACAAATATGTTTTAGGGCTGGAAACACAATAAAAATATGTTTCTGACCGATTTTTTTTTAAGGTTTTCGTAATCATATTTACTTATTAACAAAAGCGTATTTATGATTCAAAGATTTTCTTCGCAGACCGTGCTAAGGTTTTTGTTTTAGTTAATATACATTAACTAATTGTGGCTAAACTCCTATGGATTATATTTTATTCCATAAATAATAAAAAAAATAGCTCAATCTATTATCATCGAGTTGGAATACTCTGGTTCTGAAATTAATTTTTAAATTTACAATGCTAGAAAAATAAATTTTATTTTATTTGGCATTTAGAGGAACATTTTTATTTTTAGGTTTGTGCCAGTGTAGTTTTGAAAAATAACTTTATTGTAAAGCGTATTCTGTAGAAAAGAGGAGTAATATATATTAACCCTAAAATACCGTTGTATATATTAAATCCCAAAAAATTCTCTGGGTATATCACAATATTCGTAATCCTAATATTCACCTAATACATTTTTAAATTATGTTTTTCCAGCGGACTATGTGTACTGTGGTAAAAACAAAATCGATATATTAATGACAATCGGCACAATATTTATTTTGGACTTCAGAGGCGTATCGTGCAAAATCTCAAAATCTCAACGATTCCTACCCGCTGTGCAATACTCGCAACAACAAAGCTTTTGAAATGCATTTTTCCCCGTTGTGACAGACAGACAGACAGATAGACGACGACGACGACGACAACAAGATCAATAGTCTTCGACGACGTGGAAATAAATAAACACGAGGATCGAGTGTTCCTTATTTGCGACATCTGTTTGCGAATGAGTTCTTAGTAAATAAATATAAATAAAAATAAATAAAAAGTGACTTTCAAAAAATAAACAAATCGACACTGTACTAAAAAAAAAACCTTTTTACATCAGACTACTACCCGACCGCCCACATACACCCACGAATGGCCAACTACTACCGATCACCCATCGCCTGCTACGCCTTTGAATAATGTATAAATGCCGTCGCCGAGAAATACGCTTTAGACAGACAAAAACAAACAAAAAAATCTCCCTTTGAATAAACTGCGGGCAAGGTGAAAACGGAATAAAATTAAAAGGAAAATATGGCGATGGCGGTTTGACAAGAGAAACCGTCTCGTCGCCGATGACTGCAGTGTGCAATCGCATGGGGCGAGAGAAGAAACTGCACAAGTTCATAAATGTGCCTTTATCGAGGCCCCCTAGTACATTGTAATATTTTATATTATATATGTTAATAGGTGTAGGAAAGTGTAAGGCGGGAAAACTTTTTAGTTGTACGCTCACCTACCTTTATGCTGCTGCATTCGGCTTCTCTCCGCTATGTTTTCTCGTACGAAAAATAACACAATTTCTGTCTCACCCACATACCACTGCAGTTGATTTTATATTATTACTGTTGTTGAGTGAATATTTGACGACCTCTAAAAAAGTACCGCGTATTATATATAATATATATATTATATTATTATATACGACATGTTTACCTTCAACGGTTTTCCGTCTTGTTTTTCTGGAAATTTCAGTTATTCCGACAGACTTTTTTTTCATTCGAAAAGTTACATGCTCTACAACAAAGGTTGGCAGTTAATTAACCCATCGATTCTACCAATTTGCTGTTGTAAGTTTAAGTAACACTATCGAGGTCAAGCTTTTGTCTTCATACACTGTGAAAATATTTCCGACTATAGTCAGAAAACCAGAAAAGTATCCATGTGGAAAATAAAAACTGCTGCAACAAAAATTACTAATCGTTATTATTTCTTCCATCGTTTTTCAATAGATAGTTGATATAGACACTATTGATGATTTAATAAACGGATTATTATTATATTTAAGTCATGAATACCTACTTTTATAATTTATAACTTTAAAGAAAATTTAAAAATTTAAAATAAAATCCTTAAAAAATAATAAGATAGAGAATACCTATATTTACATAAATAATTAACACATCACTACAATAATATATTCTTTTCAGATATTTACATTATAAGGAAAACAATTTTCTAGTTTTGAAAATAGAAAATAGTACTTAACATTTAAAAAAAAATTGTAATAAATATTACAAGTGTATTGTACTATTATTTTTTTTTTTTATTATAACTACTAAATTATGTAATGTGACCAGGGTGACCACAGGTACAAATTGGTAGGTGCCGGGATCAATGATAGGTTGCATTACAACTACCTACAGGACTGACAGAATCAATACTAGTGAAATCAATGGTCCACCATTTTTTTTTCACCAACCATTTGACATTAGGTACATATTATTATACTGCGACCCCGGTGAAATCTAATTAAAAATTCGATCCAATAGGCTGCTGGCGAGGACACTCAACGACGACAACTTTTTGAAAATCACGACGGCTGTGTGATGGTGTCGGACGCAGATATTCTTCGGCACTCGTCCTCTGGTGTGTCGGTGACATTCTTTGATTTTCAATGCACTGAAAACGTCACCTGTATATCCGTCACACATTCCTATCGAACCTTTGGACACGAAATATCTAATAAGTATAAAAATAAAAACTGATAACGCAGTATTATATTATAGGAATTAATATTAAGACCCGGTGATGTATAATTTATTTATTTGGTACGAGGTCAATAGAGTTTCGTCTAATCTTTGTCAAATTCTGTACGTTTTACCTCATATCATATTAATAGGTTTAGATTTTCAAAACCAGGTTTTTTGTTCAAGTAAGTTCCGAAAACTACCAATATTATTATTAAAATTTCAAAACGCTTATTCCTTATGATTTTCATTTTTAAATCCGAAAGTAAATAACCTACTTATACTTACCTAATTTTTCATACGGCTCTCTGCGGGTGGTTGAGTATTGCCATATAATATTGGTAAATTTTTTTACTCGAAATTCTGAAATGATGCCTCTGCACCCTCAGCTGTAGCACGTGATTGTATTTAGTTTTGACAATCTATCTACACTTGTAGGCAGTATTTTATAGAATATTGTATGCAAATATAATAATATTTTGGTTCGTATTGTGGGACGTGGAGGAAACCCGATGTTTTATTTGCACAACAATATTGAACAACATGTATAGGGTAGTGGTAGTCGCTAGTGGGTAAATAATATTATATCCGATTTATGTTTTTTCCATCACTGTAAACATCCGGTTTTCTGGTCCACCATTAATGCATGCAGCCTTAAGCACAATGGTGAAATAACTCAATGCATAGTATACCTACTTAGTATTAAATACTTTATTTTCGGAAAAAAAAGTTATTAATATAGTGCTCGTAAATAATATTCTTATAAGTTGCAGTGAACCTATTTAGGAAAAGTATTTATTTTTGAATGTTTTATCGACTTTCACTCTTTTAAAACACTCGTAATGTTTTTAAACATATTAAAAAAAATGTAATATTATTTTTTATTTAATTTAATTTATATTAAAAATTAAACGTCATATATTTTATTTGCTTATTTTTGTATTTCTTTAATAGCTAGTCAGGATCACAAAATTGTTTAATTAACAAAATAATCATTTTTCAGTATTTTTGAAAACTCGGAATTGAGCTAACATAACTCGTTCGTTACCAAAATATTTATAAATCAGTCGTTTTTCGTGAATTTATAAATTTCCTCGATATCTATTCAAGCTTCATTTGAGGGAATGTTGTAGGAATAAACCCATTATATGTATACGTTTTTAAGTGACATTAAATTCCCTAATCCATATTCCCTACTCCAATCGATTACAGCAACCGTGTTCGTTCCTTAAAAAGCAATCTAATAGTAGGTATATTATATTTACATCGTGTCACCATGGAGTGATTCCTTTAATAATCGGCTCTCGAAAAGAAATCATTTTCAGCATTTTCTTCGCCGCCATCATGCATTATATTATGTTACACACGTGCCACGTGTCCGTGATACACCGGCGGACTTGCAGTCACCCACGGTGGGCGTTAAAATGTATTTCAAACGACGTTCAAAGTTCCTGTGCGCAGAGCTTTTGTCCAGACCACGACGATTCGTGCACTTAAGGTCAAGACAACACACATTACACACACGAATGAGTGCGGGCGGCTGCGTTATAATATTCTTATTATACTTGTAGTCCTGTACAGATATGGTGAAGCGGCAGTATGCGAGACGCTTTATTTAGATGCAAATTTAAATTCAAATCCCGTCAAAAGGGATTAGGGTATAGCTCTGAGCAGTTTCGGATCAAAGGTCCGGCGGCACGTGAGAACTCTCACCCTTGGATTACATAACTTTTCGGTAATTTTTTCCCTATAATCCTGCACACGTACATATATATATATATACACATACCACTGGCCTTTTATTTCGACCTCTTCCGCCACCTGTCGTCGTTGTTTTTTTACGACTTGCAGGCTTATGGCAAACCGCGACGGACCATAGACTCATTATTTTAACACCTTCTGACGCGCCGCTGTGACTTTATACTCGACAAATAAATATCTACATGTCGTATACGTGTGTGTGTCTGTGTGTGTTTGCGCAAGTGACCACACTTGATTCTTAATGAAAACTTAAATAAATAAGGCTTTTATATTGATATGAAACACTTCAGGGCGGTTACGCATTTGTACCGATACGTTTTTGAATACAACAAATGAAACACGTCTAGCGCATACATAATAGTATAAATAAATTGAAAACAAAATGTTTTTAAACAATCGAATAAAAGCACACGGCAGGTATGCGATACATGGCGCTGTTTTAGTATAGTTTTAATTATTTTCTATATGTTTTGAATATTAGTTTATTAATATTAAATTTGAATGAGTATATTTGCGATTTCAGCAGTGTCTGTTATACAGACGTACTGTTATGTTTGCGACATCAAAAAGGGTGTGTCAGAGCTCAATAAAACGCGAACGCCCCTACGTCAACTTGTTTAGTCACTATATATTATATAGTTTATACACAATAGCACTGCAGTATGAATTTTAATGTTGCATTAACTTTTCCCAAGTATGTTTGTAACTCAAATACAAGTTTTTGAAATATTCTATTTTTCAATTGTATTTATGATTAATTTAGATTTAAAAATCAAACATTTGTGTTCAATTGCATACATATTATAAAATATAATAATGGTATAGTAATTTCAAATATTTTTGTCATTTACAGATTTCAACATTTTTCTAAAAATCAAGATTGCTATACGTCGTAACTTTTATAACGGTCACCAATCAAAAAATAAAATTCATTCTATTGTCATAAATAATTTAAAAAAAAAATAAATTCAGAAGAAAGTGTTTAAAATTAAAGTGAGTTTATATCACAGTTATAATGAACTTGAGTAAAAAAAAATTGCTCAGGGTTATTCTTGGCGATTCCATACAAAAGAGCAAAGGACTAAAGAAAAACAACAAAAGTAAAATTATAATTTATGTTGTAATGGTTATTTTTATTCATAATAATAACTGTTTATTTTAAAAACTTCCTCATTATTGTTATTATTATTATATCTATTGTCCTGAACTTACGAAAAAAAAATCATAAAAATAATAGATTTGAGATAATATTTTCAGTACAGGCTGAAACCACAATTTTGTTTTTTTATCAAACCAATATTATCGCATGTAATGTATATTTTTATCAAATAATGGTTGTTAAAAAATTGTTTTCTTAGATACGCAGTATAGATTAAAGAATTTAACATGTCAATAAAAGTGAAAAAATGTGTTTCTTATACGGGAGGAGAGAAAATGTATCCAACATCGTTCTTTGTTCCATCCTGTGTCTAATAAAATAATCATCAATAGAAAAATACAAAGCTGGGCATTAAGTATTAACTATAGTTAAAAGTTCATATATTTTCAACTTTTCAACCACTAGTAACTAGTAAGGTAAATTTCTAATAACCTATCTTAAAAACTTCGCTGATTAAAAAATCCATTTTTCAACTTAGCTTTATCCAGTTAATTTAAAAAATAATACTTCAAGTTAAAATCATGTTCATCTGGGTCGTTATAACCTTCAAAATAGGTAATTAATTAATTTTATTGTCTATAATAACTTAAGTGACACAAACGCGTAATAATATTATCTCAAGGATCTCGGAGCTGGTTTTTCAAATCCTCCGCGATTCTATAAAATTTGAAAATTATATTTTATATTTTAGTAACAATCTGCCTTAAAATATAGAACACTTTTCCACTAATCTACAGTTCTATTCTTTTTCAGGAGAGGGGGGCTAATAAGTGTATTATATCAATAAAAATGACTTGACGGGAAAAATTATCACGCCTCGTTGATATGTCAGATTTTGATCATTTTTCTTTTATCTGAAAGAGGAGAACTCTTTGCAGGTCTGATCAAAGCCCGATTTTTCATTTCACTTTAAATAATGCTCAAAAAATACTTTGAAAAACAGAAAATATTGTGTATTAGTCAAATTCATATTTTAGCTTCTATAATTATGATTTTTAAAATCGGGCTTTAATCCAACCTACAAAATGTTCTCTTCTTTTAAATAAAAAAAAAATTACTACAGGTCGTGAGAATTTGTGTACTAATGATGTACCGGCTTCCCTTCTTAACGTGTGCTATAGCTATGGTGAGCAATAAGACTGTATAAATAGTGTAGAATTCATTTTTAAATGAGTTTTTATGAGTTATTAAAAAAAATGAAAGCTACACATTAATAATATATAATAATATATATATAATATGTGTGACCCAGCTGGTAGTTTAAAATAAAAAATAATCAACTAGATTTAAATATATATTGTCGGTAAGCCTATAAATAATAGCTGAACTTGGGCTTCATACTAATTAAATAAATAAATAATATTTTATAATAATGTATGTCTAAATGTCAGAATTACTGTAGTTCACCATCCTTCCCTGCACATACGACAGTGAACGTTTTATCCCTCCACTTTTGCTTAGTTTTTCGATATCTTGGCATCTTGCTATTTCTCTGCACTCTGGGAGGAGCCCAAGAAGGGGATGTGAGGGAAGGACTCCCCCCTCATTGCAACAGTAATAGACTTTCAGTTGGAATTCGTCAATCGGTACCCATATGATCTGGTTAATCTAAATTAATCTAGTCAGCAGTTTTACCGACTACATTTCACCGTCGTGATTTTTTTTTTTAAATCGTCCGAACGCCACAAATTCCGATTTCATATCTATTGGACGTACTCGTGTGCAACCATGGCGCGTGCATATCGAACGGTCGAGAAAGGCGTTCGTTTTGTTTATTTGATACGCTTGCATGCAAATAAGACATATTAAACGTACACGCATACATCTAACCGGCAAATCGTCAGCTGAAACGAGTACCACGCGCGTCGCGTCGGCCGCACGCGCCCATCAAAAGAAACTTTAATATTTTTTTACGTAAAACGAATGTCGGCGAACGGCGGGCACTAGCAGCGCTATATTGCACGATTATTGTTGTTTACGCTTTTTATTGTAAATGCGAATGAAGCTCGTAATATATTATTATGTATCAGTCTCGGTGAATACGAAACGTATACTGTGTACAAAATAAAACGTGTGTGACCCCCACGCGATCTACACACACTCGGACACTCCTAATAAAATGATCGATCCTCCGTCGTCGTGCGGCACGCGCTCGATTTCGATATCACGGTGATTATCGTACGCACGAAACCGAACCGATCCGAAATGCCGATCGATTAGTCGCCACCCCGTCGGCCCGCGTATTTCGTTAAAACGAACACAATAATAATATAATAACGATGAAGAGACAAATCGGTATTATACCGAAAACGGGACCGTGGTAAGTTGGCACGCGCGTAACCGGACGGGTATCGTGTGTGACGTAATTGCGTTATATTATATTATATTATAACGCCCGCGAACGATGTGTGCAATATTTTCGTATTATTTTTGCCGGTTTGTTCCGGCGGCGGCATTGACGGCGGAGGGTCGCGGACGGCACGCGCGGCGCGTAACGGACCGGACGAGGCGGCAGTATAAGCAGCCCCCTTCTGGCCATCATAATATTATACAATATTATAGGTAGCCTATTATAGGTAAGTACTGCCCATGATAACCAAAGTCCAGATGTAAATTCGATTTCATATTTTCGCCGAGAGCATGCAGTTCGATGGTACCTAGTAGAAGACATGCCCGGAGGGTTTTTCACCACCGCACACAATAATTACAAGTACAATTATGGAATACTGTAAAGGTTATAAAAATTAAATCCCAATAGTTTGAAAATGGAGGGGAGCTGGTGTGACGTACGCATAACACGAACACTTAAGAGATCAGTCAGATTTGAAGAAATTCGTAAGTCCTCGGGGAGTTTTTTTTTTTTTTTTGATTTCCCATCAACAATTCGCGGACGCTCGTCCGACGACAAATGGGCTATAATAATAATCTAACACGAACGTTCAACAATATTCATAATTGCACACATATTACGCGTTACGCTGATGCTGCGGTGTATATGTGTATAATATATTATATTGGCAATAAACGCGATTATAATACGGTGGGTACGCGCAGGGTGTCGACGACTAAACGGTGGCGGCGTTGGTGGGTGGTATGAGTTGGGGAGGAATATGACCCCTTTTTTTGGGTTTTTTTTTTCGTCTTTTATTTTTTTGTTTTTGTTTTGAACCCGACCCGGGCGCACGCGGACGCGCGTCTGCAGCGCCTCGTGATCGCCGCCATCCCCCGTTACGCCCGCAAACTCCCCGAGGACCATTCCGTCGTCGTACTTGTGGCAGACGCGTAGTATACGCATAATACACAGCCGCCGCTTTATATTATATAACATGTACACACATATATATATATATAGAGAGAGAGATAGAGAGTATATTCCGTATGCGTGTATGTATATATATGTTCATATTATATAATATATTATGTAGTGGTTGATGATAAATCGTTTCGCCCGCTCGTTTTACACGGTCTGCTGCTGCTGGTGTTGCTGCCGGTGCGGCGACCGACGCTGCCGGTATAATACTTGTAGGATACTGTTATACAGGGTGTGACACGAAGAACTCGAATTTTTCATTTTAGATTTTTAACTGCGGTTTCGTTCTGAAAGAAAATGAGTGTGCATATTGAAATATATTTATCATTGTTTTTAAATAGGATTATATTATACACAAACTGTACCTAATATGTATATATTTTTTTTTTACTTTAAACGTACGGTAGCCTATGATCACGGACAATATAGGTACAGATTAACGAGAATTAACTGATAAAATGAAGCCACCCTGCAGCGCCGGTACCTTTTTTTAGTGATTATGAGGTATATTGCAATGTATATTATGAAATTATTTCGTTTCACTATGAGTTGGGGTTTAAGACGTGAAAAACACAACACATATCGAGTATAATATAATGCGTTGTCCGTAGTCTCATTGGAGTCGTAGCTCCAAATTTATTGCCGAGTTGTTTTTTTTATGTTGAGGTATAGTGGGGATCAGGGGCGCTGTTCCTTAGAAACCCTAGAAATGTCTTTCTTGTGATGAATATTTTCACGTCATGTACCTATCCCAATAGTTTTTTAAGGAGTCTTAGTCTCCTCCATACTGCAAAGACTACATATTTATATATATGCTCGGCTCTTTGACAATAATTAAACACGTTGTTCGATTAAATACCACTCCATAATTTCACCTCAATAACAATAGTATTATCAGAAAATATGTGAGCTGTGAAAAAAAAAATTTACGCATACTTCAAAAACATTGATGCCTTCAAGTTACACCCTGTACGTATAATATATGTATTACAATACGCGTTACACGTGTAGTACAGCGGTGCCGTATAAATTATAATATTATGTACTAGAGGGCAACGGGGCTCGGAAGCGTCAAGACTAGAACGGATTTTTTGCTCGCCAAAATCTCCTCCCCCGAGATCGGTTCTTATTATTCCACCCTCCCGCCCCATTGCACACGCATAACAATGTCATTACGCGACCCGCGAACTCCAATAATGGGGACGCGGGCCACATGGTGCGAGTTATGGAGGCACGCGTGTACAACTATAGTATTTATACGACGGTCGTCATCAATAAAATTTAAAAAACCAATTTATTGTAGCTTGTTATAGTGGCGTCATTGTTTTCTTGAAACGGTAAACAAAAATAACCCAATTTACTTATTATTTTAAATTTAACTGAGTTACTGTAATTATAGCTTGCAGCAAGTAACAACATTTCAAAGTATCATATATTCCTATCTATAACTGTGACTAGATACTCAAACAGTTTTAGGGTGGTTTGTACAATAATGCCTTTATAATTTATTCAACTTCGGCGCCCATATGTTATATACGTGTGCAATTATAAACGTCATTACAGAAGGGTTTTCGCGAACCTGACCAATTGAGCAGATTTTTAAAAAAATCTTCTATGT